CTTATTACATCACTCAGGTTGAATATCCATGTATCAAATATTATTTCAATTAAATTTAAAGAAGACATTAACTGAATTCACTGAGTAAAAAGTCAAAAAAAATCTTAAATAAAGAATTTCTCTTGTCTAAAATAATAAGTAAAGGTCAAATATCAGTCACTAAAATTCATTTGTATAATCGTTGCATATTTTTTGAACTTGGAGGAATATATTAATCAATATAGTTGAGAACTTTAGACTAAAGAGAGCAAAAAGTTACAGTAAAATATTTTGGGGTTTATTGTTAGAATTATGTAAAAATAACTGACATTTAACTTTTGAGCAACTGTAAATATTACTATGGATTCGGTTCCCTGTCACCAGAATGTTCTGAACTTCCTCACAGCACACGCGCTACCCCGATCCACGTGAACTATGGTATTTACCGAACTACCCAATAACCCATAGCCAACTTTATCGCCCTGGAGAAGGGCAAAACTGACTTTACAAAGACGCCCAGACTCGAGCGGCAAAACGAGCACCAACACACTACGGGGCCCACTTCCAAATTCACTTTTTGCAACAGTCCGCAACAAACAGAGAAAGCGAGAAATCTCTATCTGGGAGTTCTCTCCAATGGCGTCCGTTGTGATTGAGGCCTGCCGAACTCGGAGGAGAAACCGCCGTCCGTTCCCGTTCGAGACGTTTGCAACGGCGGGAACCGTCGGTGGACTCAGCGGCGGTGTTTTCAGAGACGATGTCCGCTTGTTTCTCCAGGAATTCGCCGGAATTGAGGACTACGCCGTCGCCGGGATGCCTCTCTGGTCCGTCTGGTTCATCGCATCGTGTAATGGAGCCGTTTTTCCTCTCTACATTGTTGAAGAACCGGTCCAGTACTCTCCGGAGCCATTCTGCGATCACTGCAAATTCGCAGGTAATCGGTCGCTCGTTATCTTGCCTTGTACTTGAATTCCGAGTAGTTGTACTTCTTCGAACTTGATTCTCAGTTCACCTATTGATTTTCTTTATCTGTAATTTATGTTCTCGATTTGAGGCTGGGGTCACCATTACGTGTCAAAGAGGCGGTACCACTTCATAATTCCGGCGAACGCGAACTGGGAGAAACGTCTGGCAAGCAACTGCATGGAAATTGGCACGAATCGTCATACATTGCATGGAATGATTCACTGCAACGGCTATGGACATTTGCTATTCATCAATGGACTCACCGGAGATGAATCACCAGATTCTTTGCGAGGGACTGATTTCATGAACTTCTGGGATCGCCTCTGCACCGCCTTGAAAACTAGGTCAGTGATGCATATATATCTTGTCATTTTTAATTCAAATTTCAATTCATGTATGCGCAATTTAAAGTCAGACTGAACAACATTATTTTCGCTATTTATTTTGATTTTGAAGGAAAGTCTCTGTGTTTGATGTTTCAATGAAAGGAGGGATGGAACTGAGATTACTCTATGGCGTGACTTATGGAATGCCTTGGTTTGGGAAGTGGGGTTACAAGTTCAACCGAGGAAGCTTCGGGGTGACAGAGAACACGTACAATTCTGCCATTGAATATCTTCAGTCCTTAGGCCTTTATCAGATCCTCAACGATTTCAAGACAATCACACCCGGAAGAAGAAGGAATATCAAACAAGTGATTGACAAATACAGAGAAATGAGCCAAAAGCCATTAATCACAATTAGTGATCTCTTGCAGTTCATCATGCTCATGCGGCATCGTTCTGACACCACAATCACTACAACTCGGCCGATTCAGAACACTAATAGTAATAAACTGTCGAATTTAGCGGCAAAAAAACATCACAATGATGAAATTGTCCCTGTTTCTGCAGAGGCATTTCTGAAGATGCTGGTCAAGAACGATTGCAGGTGGCCTATACGGAGGTTAGATTTCGTTCTGCATACCATCGTGGATTTGCTGAAAGAAACAGAAGGTGGGATGTTGACGAGGCAAGAACTTAGAGACGGCGCAAGAAAATGTGTCGGAGACACCGGCCTGATCGATTTCGTCCTCAAATCCATTAGGTGCTTTTCTTCCGGGAATCACATTGTTCGCCGGGCGACCAATCCCACCACTAAGTTATTGGAATTCCGCATTTTTATCAACGAAGAATCCTCTAACGATGAAAAGAACGCAGTGGTTTCCCGTTGTTCGACCAGAAACCCTTCAACTACAAAGAGGATAGAGTTCTTAGTCCCTGGCCGCAATGACATTGATGAGGACCTCAAGCTGTTGTACTACAACGTCCTTCTCGCTTACCCTGGTGGGCAGGTGATCCTGGACAGCAAGCGGTGGGTAAAGGAGTGGGGCATGCAAGAAGATGTTGAGGCTGCAGGGGAAATGAGGATGCAGTTGACTTGCCAAGTCCTGCCGAGTTTCGAGGAGCTGGAGACTGAGCTGACCCGCCCATTGACCCCGGGAGAGGTGGTGGTTGTCCCTGGGAGCATCACCATAGGAGAGCTGAAGAGGGTGGCGCAAGCAGCACTGAGGGATACTTATTGCATCATGGAGAAGTTTGAGGTGAGACAGGTTGGGGGGTTGAGGGGGATAGAGGACGAGAGGGTAGTAAAGGGCTGTGTGGGCTTTGATGGGTCAGGAGACCCACACGTGTGGGTGAGGGGATGTGGTTTGGATTTGGAGTGCCCTATGAGGTACCAAGATGGTGTGGGATCCTCTTTGACAATGAGCTCTTCCAAGGTAGAGTGTGTGTGTGGGACAAAGGAGGATGATGGGGAGAGGATGGTGGAGTGTGAGGGCTGTCAGGTGTGGCAACACACCAGGTGCTGTTGTGGGATGGATGATGATGATGAAGATACACCGCCTTCCTTTCTTTGTGATGTCTGCCGTGGTAGTGAGCAGTGGTGATTATACATTTCTTTAAAATTAAAATTAATAATTAAAGAGGTTAAGGATGGTTAAAAGTGGTTATTAGTTCATTTATAATGTTTATTTCAAGTGTAATCTTATCATACTATATCATTACCTATGTTCTACAAAGTTTAAATCTTTGTAACTTGTTGACAAGTCCTCTCCAGGTGTAGGACCTGTGTCATATACACATACTTTTTCTTTGCACATGGTGAATGATACCATACTTCATCACTTGTTTCCTCACTTATTTATATCTAGTACTTAAATTGTTCAATTGTACTACCTCCGTCCCCCTAAGTTTGGAACAAGAGAAAGTGACACGGTTATTAATAAAAATGGGTTTATGTGGTTGATATTGAATTGATAAAGTAAGAATAAAGTAAGAATGCTTTAGAACCACACAAATTTTACCAAATAAGGTATGAGATAATGTTAGTGGGACAGACCGAAAAAGTAAAATGGGACAATCATAGCGGGACGGAGGGACTAATATTTTAATTAATTTATATGAACAAAATATGGTACAGTGATGTACTATATATATTAATCTAAGTTAATATCTTGTTAAATGTGCTAAGCCACCATTCATTTTTTGCAGTTAATATCTTGTTAAATGTGCTAAGCCACCATCCATTTTTTGCTTAACTATGGTATTAAGATCTTGTTGTGCGTGTTTCGCTGTCATGCGTGGGTTTCAATGTAACCAATTCTGTTGCTACATACTCCGTACTTCGCAAGTATGAAATTATCATAAGCAAGAGACCAAACCCTTGTATGTCTCGGAACATGAGACATATATACCTTATCACCATTATTATTATCTCGATTTATCACCCATTTTATTCGTAAAACTTTTCCTATTTTATGTTCTACTAATAAAGGGTTTTCCCAATAATATGTCTAATGTTATCCACGTGTCTTTGTAATATGGCAACTACCATAAATGGATAGATATTGCATACCATTTCCATGCACAAAAAAAGTAAAAAAAATGGAAGAATTAAATAGCATAGATAGACAAGATAGTGTGCAACTGAAAACCATAATATAGAAGTATTCTAATTTTTTGAAGCTTCTTTTCCACTATCATGGCCGCCAGTCGGTTGATAGTGTTAATTAGTACAACTACAATGCTCAGTGATATAACAGTGATTGTGAATGTACCTAGCCACAACCTACAGTGGCGAATCTAGTATTCATATTTTGGGTGTTCAAAATTACACATTTTCTCCCTACAATACTAATAAATAAACTACGGAGTATCACTCTAATTCATGCATACACTCCTCCATCCCGGAAAAGGTTCGTCAAATTGACTTTTCTTGGTCAATGACAATCACCTTTGATCAATAATATTTTTTAATACGAAATTATTTAGAATATGAAAATTATATCAAAATGTTCCTTATTCTTAAATTTTCATAAAAGTATAAAATTTATAAATTATATACAAATATAATAATTAAAATCATTGTTCAAAGTTTGTCATCATTGACTAAGAAAAGTCAATATGATGAACCTTTTCGGGATGGAGGTAGTATATATTCCCATTGGTTTTATACTTTTATATTTTGGAGGGGAAATTAACATTAACAATCCATACTTTTAAAGATTCTATGTTAATAATCCATACTAAACAAATCTATAGAAATAATCCAAACATGTATACTTGTTCACATAAATAGATTAAATGAGACGGGGTTAACTATTCCGTTTCACATACCTTGATTCATCACCTTAGTTTTCTTCTCACGCTCAATGTTCTCTTCATCCCCCTTTCATCGGTGACTATACTCTGTTCTTAAACAATTTTTTTCTTCATCGTCTTTTGAGGGGGATTTTTTGTTTCCTCCCTACATACTTCACGGTACTCTGTATTTTAAATTCTTTTTCTCTCCACTTTTTTACTCTTTCTGTTTTCGATTTTGTCAAGATTAAATCTTCAATGCTGCAGATCAAAGCCTCGATGCTGAAACAGATTACAACTAAGCTGTTCTAATATGACTTGTAAATAAATAAGATGATGACACGTCATTATCTTATGAACGGTTTAGATTAGTTCGTTAGTTAGCAGTTGTGTAAAACCAACTATTGTAATCGGTTGAACAACTTTTGGTTAATCAGAATACTTCCTACTTAGCTTCCTGAACTTCTTCTTCTCTATCTCAATTTCTCAGTTTCTCAATTAATCTTGTTATGAATCAATCACTCTTGCTCAGATCATAACAATTGGTATCAGAGCACATATACGATCATACTAATGACAAAAATGAGCAATACAGATCGTCTTAATTACTCAGCTCGAATTGGAGTTCGCTAATATACGAACTAATATGGAGAGGATGAACGAAGCTCAGAGAAATGACCTAACTCGCATGTCGGAATCATAGGAGAAGCGCTTTGAAGAAATCCTAGCATCAGTAAAAGGAACCAGTTCATCTCAACACATCGAGCATGAAGTCAGGCCTCAAACTTTTGGAATACTATCTACACCCTGAAAATATACAGGTATTAAGCTGGATTTTCCTCAGTGTAATGGTGAAAATGCAAGAGGATGGGTTAGAAAATGTCAGCGTTATTTCTTGATTCATAATATGTCCAATTATGAAAAGATAGTATTGGTAGGGATGTATGTTGAAGGGAATGTTGAACACTGGTATATGGATATGATTGCTGGCAGGGAAGCAATGAGTTGGGATACCTTTGTAAAACTGTTTCTTGACAGATTCTCCAAAGACAATGAAATAATTGGGGAATTTAACAAATTGAGGCAAAAAGGTGGAGTGGAGGATTATATTGATAAATTTTCTGAACTTAAATCTTTCATGTTACAAAGAAATAAGTTCTTGGATGATTTCTATTTCCTGAAAAGCTTCCTGAGTGGTTTGAAAGAAGAAATAAGGCATATAGTTGAAATTGTGGATCCTGAAAACCTGGAACAGGCCTTTATGGTTGCCAAGAAACAAGAATCTTTGCTAGAAGCAGTAGGAAGAACTGGGAGAATAGCCTTTAAAAGTGGAACCAGATTTGGAACTGAAAATAAAGTGATAAACCATGTGGAAAAATCATTACCTGTTAAAAGATTGAATAAAGAAGAATTGGATGAACTATACACAGTAGGGCATAAATGCAAAAAGATATTTGCCATTCTACTTCCAGAACATGAAGATTGTTCAAGTGTTCCAATAGATGATGGTGATAGTGAGGAGGAAGTCAGTTTTGGAGTATCAATGCATGCTCTGAAAGGTCAGGTGCCTACTGATACTATCAAATTGATAGGGAATGTTAAGAATAATAATCTAACCATACTTGTGGACTCTGGGAGTACACACAGCTTCATAGACCATGGAGCAGCTAAGAAGATTAATTGTGAGGTTGAGATTACTAATCCTTTACAAGTGACAGTAGCAGGAGGAGGGCAGATTGAGTGTAACTCCAAATGTCCTAGATTAGAATGGGAAATGGCAAGACATTGTTTTGCAGCAAGTGTCGGGATTTTTCCCTTAGGGGGTTATGACATGGTAATGGGAGTGGACCTAATGAGGAAATTAGGACCTATTATGCTGGATTATGACTACCATACCATCACTTTTGATCATAAAGGACAAAGAGTTGTAGTACCGGGCATTCAACCAGATATTTCAGTTAAAATGATCACAGGAAGAAAGATGAATAATCTATTGAAGAAGAGACATGGAACCATATTCAATGCCTCAGTATGTTGACAACATCTGTAACTAAAACTGAAGATCACAAGGAAGTAAAGTTGGAACAGATTATCATCAACTAGCAAGACATTTTTCAAGAGCCCACTGAGTTACCCCCCTCAAGAACCTGTGAACATCAACAAAGAAATGCAGACATAACAAAGATTATAATGGATTGACAGTTGTTTCATAACAAAGAAATGCAGACATTTTAGTAGTCATTTTTCTGTATTCCATCATATTTCCAAGCCAAAAAAATAGTGAGACTTTGACTCTATTGCAAATGATGAAAAGATCGTTTTGTTTTGTGCATGATAAATTGGGAAATTAATACACATGTATACATTATATTATAATGTTGTTAACGGTTAAGGCACTAGTTTATTTGGAGAATCTTTACAATAAAAAGAGATTCATTCCTCATAAATCTCTAGTATATTACTCCCTGAGTCCCAAATTGTAAGATACATTTACTATTCGATCACTTGGTCAACATAAATCATTCTTAATCTTTTATTTTATATATTAAAAGTCTATGAAATTTGAATTATTTTTTGCAGGCTTTGTAACGGTTATAATGTAGTTTCTGAATATGTAAATTTTATTTTCTAAAACTAATTTGAATGTTGACAGGGATCAATTTGCTTTATTGTCACTCAAACGTCGTAAACCGTAATGTATCTTACAAATTGGGACGGAAGGAGTATTTAATATTTGGGTGGTATGTGCCCATATTTCTAGGCTCAGCCAAGCCTATATATCTATTTGTTGTTGCCTCCGTCACATACTGAATAATTTTGTGGCAAAATTCGACAAAATTCAGAAACACGAAGTTCAAAAAGTTGTGCTTGCAAGCTGGTAGCACTTTGATTAATTTCTTTTTTATAATTTAAGTTTTATCAGAATTTTTATAGGATAAAAATTTATCTAAAATAATTAAAATTTTATTTGATTTTTTTATCATAAAAGAGTGGACGTTATATTAAAATCGAGAACACATACAAGACAACATTTAGACAGAATTTACAATTTATAGATCCAAGTGTGAACCCTAGGAGTAGAGTTAGAGTCAGTCACCTCATACAAAGCAACATGACTCGCTAAACCTGAAACAAGCAAATTTAGGCCTAAAACAACCGGAACCGAAACCCTTCCTATCAAAAGAATTCCAAAAATCCAAACATTCAAACCAAATCTACTCAGACTCAAACATAATCAATCGCAACTGAAGGGAAAATAATACCGAAATAAATTCTTTCCACAAAGCTCTTCCTAGTATGAAGGTGGTTCAGGAAAAGGACGAGTTCTTGCAATATGCAATAAGGGTGAATACCAACTCCACTAACATAGTTGTTGAGCTCTTGCAAGGCTTCACGATCCAGTCTGGATACAACCTCTCAGCCGCACCTCGTTCATCCGCTGCTAACACCAGGGACGGATCTATGCCTTGAGAAGTGGGGGCAAGTGCCCCCAATAAAAGTTCAAAATTTTAGTATATAATTAGGTTATTTATTGTAAAAATAAAGTTTGCCCCCAATCAAATTCGTAGGTTGCCCCCAATGAATTTTTTAGATTGCCCCCAACAAAATTTTTATTACAAGAAAAATCATATGGATTATTCTACCTAGTAATTTATAAGTATGTTACTTATTTAAATATATAATTGAGATTACTTGAACAAATCATAGTAATCTCTAGAAATAATATTCATATGAAATTGAACCAAAATGTTCTTAAATTAAATCATAGACAAAAACGTAATCATTTTATCTTGTAGACTAATGAATATCAATCGGATTAGAAAAAATGTTTTTATATTAATGAAGATGAGCAAACGTAGAAGTACTATTCAATCTATCTCATAATTTCTTTTCTATTTTTCCTTTTTGGTGTCAAAAGTTTCTCTTCATTTTCTACTGTTTCAGGGTCTCTTCTGGAATAATTTGTGTAGTTTGTGTAGTCAGTATTCATCATTCTTTTTCTACATTCATCAAGTTATAAATTTTCACTATTAATCAATGTGCTATTTCAATGTTAGAAGGTATTTTGAGAGGGATAGCATTTGACACTTTAGACCTTTTATGCAAACATTAGCGATTATTTAGCACTAAAAGCTTGAATTGATAAGGTTAGTATAAAGTTATTGTACAGTTACTTAGTGAATTGATTTTGAGATTAATCTTGTATTAAACTTTCGATGCCAAATTGCACTAATTAAATTCAATTTATCATGTTTATAATGATGTTTTTATTTGGACTGAAATTTTCTTGTCTGGTCAGTTTCAGCTTCGTCTGATCTAGTCTGAAGTGATTTGGTCTGTTCTAGTAAATGTCTAGTCTTTATATATTTTAAAACTGTCCAAATCTGGCCCGATCTGTTAAAGTCTGCCTGGTCCGATCTAGTTTGTTTAAGTGTAGACTGATCTGAGACTGAAATAAGTCAAAGTAAAAATATTTTAAGTTTACCCGGTGGGATGTATCCTGATTGTATTGCTCGTGTAATTCTGACATGATGATTATCAACGAAGTTATCTTTTGTCAAAAAAAATTACCAGGTGAGAACGAAGGCTTAAGCCCTTTTCGGGTGTGTGTATATACAAATACTCATGATGATCTGTAGAGGTAAAACAAAAAACATGATCGCTACTATATATATCGATGAGTTTTTTTCCAATTTAATGTTAAAAAATAAATTATATATGAAATTGGTGTAGAGTTAAAACAATTTACCGATCAACTGCTCCCTAAACTAGAGTTAGGAAAATCGCCAAACCAAAGGGCTACTTTCCTTCCAAAATACGAAATGCGGCTTCAGCAGGAATGGAAACAGCCTATTGCAGAGGAGGGGATAAGGTGCCAGGTGGCATCTACATTTAAAGAATTCTCTTTTTTTAAAGTGCTATATCTTTTACATTGTTATTCAGAATATTCTAAAAAATATACCAAATTTCATAACTTTTTATGATCTTTCATATGACACATATATCGGATATATAAAATTCAAAACAAACTAAAGACCATATGGGTTGAAAACGTCCGTTAGAACCATGATCCGTCAATAAACATAATTATAAACTAAGTTAATACGTAGTATCAATTGATCAATACGGTATACAAAATTGAACATATTCGTAGTTAGTAAACGTTACTAAGTCATTTTTCATATAATATTGAATTTATACGGAGTATTAAAGTTAATCGTTTCGGGTTTTTACCGGTTCGGATCGGGTTATAGATTTTAGAGCCCATTTATGCGCCCTAATATTCGTGTTCGGCTGGTTTTTACTATTAGGGCCGGTCAAAAAGAAAAATCCAGGACTGTGAACATCAATCGGGGCAGGCCAGGGTCGGCTTCCGGGTTTTGGTCCGGTTTTTTCCACCCCTAGCATTGTCAATACATCCACTAAATATATTTTTTATTTTACTTCACATGAAAAATACTCCCTCCGTCATTTAAAACTTTGCCAAGTTTGACCGGTACGGAGATTAATAAAGTAAAAACTGTGTGGTTGAGGTTTGTGCAAAGGAGAGAGAATTAACTGAAATCACAAATTCTTTACTCAAAAGGAAAAGTGGCAAAGTTAGTGGAACATCCAAAAATGAAAGTTGGTAAAGTTGTAAAGGATGGAGGGAGTATATATAAACGATTTAAAAAATAACTGTGAGATTTTACTTTTAAAGCCCGTTTGGTGACTCTGTTTTTCTGCTTATCAGACTTATCAGCCAACTTCTTTATGAAACACGTAACTTTTGGTTTCGCGCGCTGAATTTTGTAATAAAAAGAAAAAGTAAGGTTGAAGTTACTTTTCTGGCTGTATTGACTGAAGTTACTGTAGAGTATCATTCTAGCTATTTTTCATACAACTTTTTCTTTACTTTATTATTGAAAAATATTTTAAATATTTTTTTTTCATATATCATCAGAATTGGCCAATACAGCCACTTCAGCCAGAACTTCATAAGTTTCAGTAGAATCAGTCGATTCAACCAATTTTAGTGTTACCAAACGGGCTCTTAACAGTTGGATCTATTTATGAAAAAAATTGAACTTAAATCAACAAATTAGATCATCCCATTTTTGTAAAAAAAATTGGTTTGCAATCAAGTTTAGTGACGGAGCATGGTTGCAACTGATCTTTTAACTCAGTATGATCTTTAGAAATTTTTAAACTTTATATATATAATATTGGTGTTATATGAAAAACAATAAAAAATTATGAAATTTAGTATATATTTTTCAAAAAAGTTGGAACAAAAATTTAAAACACACAAAAGTTTAAAGAAAGGGGGGGGGGGGGTTTATTTTAGTTCTCCCACCTTAATTTTATCTCCTGGGCAATAATGGTTTCTCTCAGAGGCTGCTTTGGGGGCTCCGTGTTTTCTAAGGAAAGTCGCCATTCCATTTGGCGTGTTTTGTTAACCATAGTTTAAACGAGCAATACATTGATAAATACTTTTAACTACACCTTATTTTTGTAATTAATTATTTTTTTAGCACTAGTTTAGAAAAAAACTCTACTATATCTATCCTAAATTAAATTGGTCATCTTAATAAAAGAAAAAATTGATTGGTCTTTGAATTAACTTATGCCCCAATAACTTTACTTTCTGGATCCGCCACTGGCTAACACTAACTTTTCCGACATACTTGCAATCATAAGTGTTAGAACATTCAAAATCAGCATAATCTGCCATTCCAACCCCATATTGATAGGGGCGGTGGAAAATTTCAACCACTACAAAAAGGCAAGACGCCTGCTATGGTTCTTCTCTCTCTACAGAGAAGAGAGAGGGATGAAGAGTTTCTCGGTAGTCGTATTTTTGTATAAAATTTTATGTGATTTAAATTCTATAAATAATATATAATTAGATACAATTTAACGAAGACCAAGACAACAACCACGAAAGCCATAATTTAAAAAAATGTTACTTAAACCACCACCATGCATTTTGGCACGAATGAGTTAAAAAAAACAGAAATGCTACGGGTACATGGATTGTACATGACATGTACACAGTATAAATACCTCATACTTTTTACCGTCTCACTTTTACCCTTTTTTTTTTCTCTCTTCTCCCCTTTCTTTCTTGCGCCCTTCTTGCGTCTCTCTCCCGTAGCCTCAGTTTCTCCTTCCTTCCTTCTTCTTCATTTTCATTGCACTCCTCCCCCATTTAACAGTTCACAAGCCATTTAAATTGTTTCTAGGGTTGCTCACGGTTGAATAGGAAGCACCGCGCCGTCTGGGGCCGTCTCCGTGTGGAGCCATCGCCGTCTGGAGCCGCGCCGTCTGGAGCCGTCTCCGTCTGGAGCCATCGCCGCCTGGATGCTGCCGCGACCTGGTGAATTTTTGCTGACCCCACTTCCACCACGGTATTCATTTCCCCTTCATCTTCCTTCAATCCAACCTTCAATTCCTTAACCCTAACTCGCAAAGAAAATTAGTCATTCGAAGATTCTCTAGACATTGTGATTC